CCCCCCCCCCCCCCCTCATATTCCATATTGGCTTGACGATAAAAGGAAACTAACTCAAAAAAGGAAACTAACTCAAAACTTTTGCAGAAGTTTATTGTTGGGCTGTGAGTTACAGAATTGGGCCCAATGACACACATCATTAGTCTTCCGATCTGGAGACGGCAGTTTCAGGTTTGCTTCTTCAACTCCTCTGCCCTACATCTCGTCTTTTTATCTCTCTTTTATGGGCCAGCTTTCTTTACATCTTAGATAGAGATATAGTTTAATCACAGCCGTTGGATATATGAGAATGTCAAAACATAAATAATTTGTATTTAAATTGATTAAAAATTTTTGATGTATATTAAATTAAGATAAAAAGGTCTTTTCATATTCAAGAAGGTATAATTTAAAAATAAAATAAAAATATAGAGGTATACATTTCAAATCTCAAATAAGGTATTTTACAGATCCTCTCTGTTTTTCAAATTTTGTACTTGAAACACATTTCTGTTAGTCCTTATAAACTTTTCATTAAAGGTAGCCAAAAAACTGGCAAAAGAACATCCCATTTAAGCTTGACGAACACGCAATAGATTCTGATAAAAAGAACACACACACTAATACCACAGCTACAATACTTGCGAGTCAACGCTAAACAAGCTAACATCAAAGCAAGATATTAACATGAACAACCAAACCGGCACACGGGTGTATCAAAGACGGAAAAAAACTATCTAATCAAATCCAATACTGAGAGTCCAGCTCAAGAGCAGATATTAAAGACAAAGTAGCCAATCCATGCAAACAGAAACTGGAAAAGCCACTCAGATTACAAGAAACCAAAATCAAGAAACCTATATCCAATACCGAAAATCCAGTTTCAAGAGCAACCAAAAGAGTCTAAAACCTTTCAAAAATCATTCGAACCTACATGCCAACTTAACGTTGCGACAGTACTAGCTCCGGGTACAAGCAAATGAAGCATGTGCTTCCGGCCGTATTTTGGATATGTAATAATTCAGCCTTATTTTGAACAAATATCTTTAATAGCATACATGGTTTATTGTTATGATTTATATGTTTGTAGACTGAGTTTGAATACAAACTTCTACATTTTCAAGATTTTATGTGTAATTAGCCCAAAATTATTATTTTTGCTTCCAGCCCAATTTGTTTCAGGGCCGAACCTGGTTGCCATGACAAGCCTCAATCGAAATTACAGAGCAGAGAGCAAAGAAATAAATAAGTAGAAACTAATAAGAGAAGTCAGCAGAGATAATACATGTCCTTAATAGAACTTTCAACCCACATAGTATTTTCTTACATATATATATATATAAATAATATGTTTTAGGCTAGCAAATTAAAAAACACAATCAGGAGAAAGAAAAATATGCGCATAAATCATTTTAAAAGGAGTTCTCAGCGGCGGCGTAACCAAGAGCAAACTCGCGGGTAGTCATGTCAGAGCTCATCACATCCAGCACGGGTGGTAAAATGGTGACAGACACTTACCATCCTCCAACGTAACTTCCGTTGAGAGCCAAGGCCTTATCTGTTGCACCTTCTCCACAGAGAACCAAGGTAGTAGAATTAGATAAAAACAAGCAAAAGTGATATAAACATACGTAAGGAGATCACATAGTACATCATGAAAAAACAAAACAGACATGGCTAGAAATAATAATAGATTTTTTTGGACAAAAGAAAAAAAAGATACAAACCTGCTGATAATCGCATTGGTTACCGGGTGTGTCGGCACCCTAATGTCCTCCAAACCACATGACCCAAAGTGCTTCTCCAAATATCCAACAATATCAACAACATCAAGCGAAGTGTCATATCCTGAAACGCTAATCCGAACACTATATCATCAAAAACCAGTAATCAAAAACATATTTTTATATAATAAGATACATGAAACTCGGAAAAGAAAAAAGAAAAACGCCTAACCTGTTTTTGACATGCGTGTAGTAATCTTCGAGAAAATCCACCAGGCCGTTCTCGCCACCCGGAGTCATCTCAGTCACCAGGACACTCGGGCCACTTCCGCCTATTAGAAATGAAGAATAAATTAGCATGTACATGTCAGAAGAACTTGATCAGATACAATAACAAAAGGCGGCATTTTGGACATCAAATAACATTATCTTCATGTACTGCTGTAAACACAGGGACAAAGTCTTTGTTTCTGCTTCTCAGAGAAGAACCCTGAAGAGGTGATAGGCAATAGGGTATGTAAGAACCAATCTGATTACAAACAAAAATACTGTACAAAAATTGTTCACAAAACGATACGTTTGCTTCTTGGATTATTATAACAAAATAGCATAGATTCTACTGAATTTAAGTAAATGACAAATACTTTACATAATTCTTTAATCAGAACACGAATTTACTCAGTATCCTTTTGTCTGACTAGCTAGTGTCATAAATATTATTTGCTAGTTATGTCTAAGTCCTTGTTTCATGTTTTTGGTCAACTAAGTGGCTAACGTACCTCTATATCAATCGAATATACTTGCAGCAAAACGTATTGTTGACATGAAAATGAACATCAATCTATAGATGTGTTAAAAAAAGTTTCCCCATCAAATCCATATTCATTGACATCTTGAAGGTATTCCGTTTTTTTCAATTGACTGACTTTCTTATGTGAACAATGCTATCTTTCGACGTAATCTTATTGCAATGACTTTGTTTGTGTATAGACGAACAAATGTTAGTTAATTTTATTTTACCAAAAATATGTTAACTAACTTTAATAATTACTTAAATGTCCACGTTAGAGATAGTTAAATTTGTCTAATGATATTGTGAAGCATATTTTATAAATTCTGTAATATCTTCATGTGTTTTCCAGTTTAGGCTATCTTTTCATTTTTATAGTGCTCTATTTTGTGTCGTTTACATATTTGTCCTGCTTTTATGAGATTTAAACTTTCTGAGTTGTAAATTTTGAAACAATCGCATAAGCAATCGTAGAAGACACAGTAGATCCATTAAAATCTAAGTTTCAAAAAGGACAAAAAATGTGGATAATCACCAAGAATCAGAAACTGCCACTGAACTGGAGCATAATATTCTTCTTAATTAGTTCTTACAACATTTGGAACCAATGATTCGTCATAACACCACAACATCCAAGTATACGATAACAATTTGTTCATGAATTTGTTTTATTAACTTTGTAAAAAATCTCTGTTTTGGGTTTTTCACTTTTTGTTTTGTTTGACAAACTAAATTTAGGTATAAAAATTAAATTATAAAACATTGACCTAATACACAATGCTAAAAGTTTTGTGTAAGCGTTTTGTATATATTTTTCTTATCTCAAATATATGAGTAATTTGTATTTAAATTGATTAAATATTTTAGATGTATATTTAATCAAAAGGTCTTTTCATATTCAAGAAAGTATAATTAAAAAATAGAGGGTATTTTACAAATCATCCCAAATAAAATTCGTTAAACGACACTACAGAAAATCAAAACTGTCTTCAGCTCAAGCTCCGACACAATGGCGACTTTGTTACGTCGGTAAGCCTCGCGACTAGTTGGAAGCTGCATACAAAATTGCTTTCCCGTCAACCCATTTCTTGACAAGTCGTGGACTGCTCTTAGAAATTACAAAAAAGGTCTTAGAAAAAGTGTCTGAGCCCGGGTTCGAACCGGGGACCTCTAGTGTGTGAGACTAGCGTGATAACCGACTACACCACCCAGACGTTTTGTTTAATAGTCTTAAAATAAATTGAACACCAAGGAAGGAATAGTAGTGCAATGAAAGACAACAGTCAACAGAGTGTTTGCTGTTTCGATTGTACATCGTACTACATCGTGCCGGTTTTTGATCTCTGCGTTTCTCCTGCCACCTTTCTGATCTATCTATCTCTCTCTCATATCCACTTTTCACGAATCATATTTCAACAACGCCAGACACACACAAAGAGACAAAAAATAAATAAAAAGATATAAAAGGAAACTTTCCCCATGAAGATGAAAACGGAACATATATTAGTCTACCAATGCAAACACATTACAAATTTATTATTTTCAAAACAAGAACAAAAACACCTAGAAAGATGATATACGATCAACCAAATGTTCTAAAGATCGATAAGCCGAACCGTTTTGTTTAACCGATCTTCTCACTTTCTCCATAAGAAGTTTCATCCTCTCTCTGACCACTTCTCCTTCACGCTCCAACAACAATCTCCTCACCACTCTTTCAATCACATTCCTCTCAATCCTCCCCTCTAGATGAATCCCAACCCTCCACACATCACTAACGAATCTTGCATTCAACAACTGATCCCACACAAAAGGCAAACAAATCATAGGCACACCTTCACAAACACTCTCAACGGTCGAGTTCCAACCATTGTGTGTCAAGAATCCACCAACGGCTCTATGCTTTAGCACCTCTTGTTGTGGAGCCCACTTCACTATCTTCCCTTTCGCCTTAACCCTCTCCATGACTTCTTCAGGGATCGTCTCGATCCATTCTGCGTCTTTCACCGAACCAACACGTACCACCAACAAAAACGGTTGGTTGCTGTTACTTAGACCCCAAGCAATCTCTATTAACTCTGAAACGCTCATGTTCGCTAGGCTACCGAAACTCACGTAGATTACGGATTTGTCTTCTTGTTTGTCTAGCCATGGAATGCAAGTATCGTCCGGTGTGAACAAGCTACTAGACATGGCTGGGAAGTTGATATGAGAAGGTCCTATCGCATAGATAGGGACTTTGAAATCTTGACGTGCTAGGGTTAGTGAGTCTTGATCCAACTCTTCACAAGATGACACGAATATAACACCAGAAGACGTCTTTGTTGTTTCCAAGATTTTATCTGAGTATGAGTCTAAAAGCTCGGTTTCTTCCTCGAGAATCTGTGAAAGATCTTTCTTTCTAAGCGGTGGAAACTCTTGTACTAGATCATCTTGTTCTGAATATGTTATAGAACCTGGAATATTGATTTTAATTCGTATGAGAGTAATGAATTAATGATATATAATGTTTTCATATACATGAATAACATAACTAACAAAAACTACTAAATTTAGGAATTTTGCAGAAAAGATAGACCATGAAAGTCAATTAAAGTAAAAAATCAATAAATTAATATTAGATAAATTAATAAATACGAGAAATTAATTAAATATTATCGGTTTTAAATTAGATAGGTGTAAAATATATCATGATTCAGTAAGATAATAAAATTATTATATTTAGAAAATTCTTAGATAAATATTATTCATATTAAAATCATATATTAGTAAGTATAAATATAAAAATTATATAAACATACATAAAGCATTTTGTTGTTAGTTTTTTTTTCAAAGTAAACCTCCTCTCTAATTTTATATTTCATTTTAGTGAATAGCATATAAAATGTATTGTAAACTATGATATGTATTCAACATATATAAAACATATTTATTAATTTAATAAAAATAGATGAAATTCAAATCGATGTATAATCTCATGATTTTTTTTTTAATTTTTCTAAATAAAATATATATATTCTAAAATGTAAATTTATATAATAAAATTAGATTTCAATTCAGAATTCTGTAAATTAATAATGTAGCATAGTTAAAAGATTATTAATTTATAGAACTTTACTGTATATAGGACAAAACATGGTAAAGTTGCTGTGAGAAGTTAACAGTACCTTGCAGTAAAAGTAATCTTTCTCTGCGGAGCTGAGGAAGAACGAAATGGCCATGAAAGAAGGAGACGTTATAGGTACTGAGGACCAATCTCTGGAGATCCAAACTCTGAGTGAGAGGTTGTGTGAAGATCCATTGAGCATCATGGATCAAACAGCTAATCCTCTCTTTCTCTTCCTTTGCAGATTGATACAGTTTAGTCAAACACTCACGAAAGGGAGACACACAGCTTCGGTTGAGACGCGTTAGGAGAAGTGTGACATCGTGAGTTCTTGTCTCTGCGTCGGACAAGCCGTCTGGTATCTGTAAGAAGGTGAAGAGAGGATGGTTTGAAGGTTTTGGGGCGTTGAAGCTTGTGTGGATCACAGTGATGGAGAAACCTTTTGAGTGGAGGATCGTTGCAAGTTGAAGCATTGGGTTGATGCAGCCTTGTAATGGAAGTGGAAACAGAATCACTCGTTGGCCATTACTCTTCTCCATTGAAAACTTTCTCTTTCTGTTTCAATCCAAATGCAAATGTGTTACATTATTTCAGTTAACGTGGCTACTACTCATATAAGAAGTCAATCTGATATAATAAAAAAAAAAATTTGTCACGTGGACAGAAAACTCTGTTATTCCCTATCAAATATTTTATCAATTTGAGTTGATCTGCTTATATAAGATATAAAATTAATCACGTATTTTATGGAGGATTATTAAACTAATCACGTGTTTTTATTGTTTCCTGTGCAGATTTTTCAATTTGTTTATAGTTTTCCGAGATTACACGATAATATAATCCAGAGGGACATAGCTTTAGACCGTATGACAGATTCAAACCAAAAACATAGCCAACCAGTAAGGACTTCATTATAATGTGTTACAACCATTGCTATAACATTATAAAATTTTGTTTTATAAATATTTTCTTTCGAGTTTCTGCTAATGTAATAGAGAAGATTAGTTGGTTTTTTCCAAATTAACAACGAGATAGTCAAGTTTCAAAGCAAGTTTATGCAATAGAGAAGATTAGTAGGTTTTTCCAAATTAACAACGAGAGACTTATTGTGTGAATAAAGCAAACTTTAGTGATTTGTGAATCTCAGGCATAAGAAGAAATTTTCGCTAGATATGCTTTAACAATTGATATCTCGAAAGTTTTCGATTGATGGTAATGTCTTCTAAAGGTTTTGGGTGCAACCTATCTTCCACAATGGCCATCTTCTAAAGGTTTTGGGTGCAACCTATCTTCCACAATGTGCGTTAAAAATTGATATCTTAAAAAACTTTTGATTATGTTCAATGGCCATTTTCCCTAAATGTTTTGAAAGGATTATAATCTCCATGTCAGTTTCATATTTACTACATAAGATTGTGCTTTCCTCTCCTCTTCATTACAAGTAATCGGTGAACTTGCGGATACTTTAAAAGTGAGCGCAGAATTAAACAAGTTTATCTTCCTATCTCTTTATAATATGCATGAATATTCACAAAAATGGCTGATGAAGAGCCCAAAGACAAATTGGATATTATGTAAATATAAACCTTTTTTTTTTAAATATATTTTTCTGAAATTTAGTATTACTACATAGTTTAAAATATGAATTCTCCAGAAACCAATATCGTCATTAACTTCCTTCCTATAACTAAATACACACACATACACATATATATTTATATATTATTGACTCTTGACCCATTTAAGTTATATTCCAAAGAAGCTAAACGTAAATTATGTATTTGCTAGAATTTTAGACTTTTTGTATTTAATTACATATAACTTATGAATTCTTGAGAAGACATTTATCATCAATAACTTCCTTCCTATAACTACTCAGATATGTTTTTAATGAGTTAGACTAATTTAAGTTATCCAAAATAAGCTCTAAATGTAATTTATACTAGAATTTAGTAGTATTTCATTACATATAAATATGAACTCTTGAGAAGATTATGTATACTACAAATCATCATGATGAATCCATCAACAAAAATACTCATATCTATTGTATGCTCAGTGTTTGCTATCTCCATGACAAGTTCTAAAGCTTGGCTACCAGATTTACGTATGGGCCCTCTTTTTACAGTCAAGATTCAGAATAACAACGACTATCATCTTAGAGTCCATTGCAAATCTGGAGATGATGATATGGGTCCCAAGATTCTTAAAAAGGGTGATATATATAAATGGAGTTTCCATGTTAATTTTTGGTTAACTACACTCTACTTCTGTGGATTTAGTAATCTACTCTATTAAAATAGAGTCATTGTTTTTATCTACCTATAAGTAGTCTACTAACTAGGACCATTTATCTATAATCCTAACAAATATAAATATTATGTATAACAATATCATCTTATTTTATTTACCCCTTAAAAATAGCATCTAATTTTGTTGGTAATTTATATTTGTATATACTGCTGCGGATGTATATTGCCTTCAATCTTTTGTTGGTGATTTATACGCAATATACAACCTTTATATAATATTAGATAATATAAATATATGTAATGTTGTCTATTGTCTTCAACCTTATATTATATTTGTATATCTACATGAGATTTATATTATATAAAGGTTATATATTGCCTTCACATATAAATCACAAACAATAGGTTAAGGTTGTATATTGCCTTCAACCTTATATTATATTTTTATATCGACGTGAGATTTATATTGTATAGAGGTTGTATGTTGCCTTCACATAGCATATATAATATTACGTTTAACATTATGTTGATATAGTACGTATATATGATATCTACTCTATTATAATAGAGTCATTATTTTTATATCTACTACAAAGAAGTCATATAGGACCATTTCATTTATTACTTAGTATGACATATTATTATTTAGGTTAATCAATCAAATATATATCATATATGCTAAAAATAATAGATTTACATTCTATTTTTAGTTATAACAGAATCGGTTGAGAGAAAATCTAACAAAATCTTACTAAAAGTTTAAATATTTTATTATTAAATAACATAATACTGAATTTCGTAATTAATAATATCATACTATTATACATTAGTATTAATTAAAATTTCACTATAATAACAAAAAAATAATCCTATACTATTTTATAAATTTCAAAGTAAAAAATTAAAGAATATTATTTATTAATAATGTTGAATAACCTACACCAATTAGATTATAAATTTACACATTATATAACATAAAAATATAAATTATATAATTCAAATATTTACATTAATATTAAATAAATTTTTAAAAATGAAAAATATACCCGCACGAACGTGCGGGTAAAAACTCTAGTGGACAATTAAACAAAGGCACATTCACAGTATTTGAAGCGGTGAAAGATTCCGGAAGTTGTATAAACTGCACATGGATAGCAGAGGCAGATGGTCTTCATGGATTGATGCCAAAATCAGTTAATCTGTTTTTTAAATGGTTAAAATAACATAAAAGTGAGTTATTTTAAAAATTGTATTTGCAGTTGATTTGAATAAAACAAAATAATATATAAGATATGGCTTGATATAAAACATTATCTTCGAGTTTCTATAAAAACATGAGAAACATTCCACCTAATCTTAACGATTTTTAGAACATTGTATAAAACAATAAGAGAGAGTAGAGCATATCAGAAAGTTTGGAGGAGAAATGGTTTGTTTCTTTACCGGCGGAGACCATTTTTTCGTCTCCACTTCTTTACTATATTAGTTCAGCCGATAAAAAAATAGTACTACGCGCCAGGTAGGGGTCGAACCTACGGCCTTCTGCTTAGGAAACAGACGCTCTATCCACTGAGCTACAGGCGCTTTTGTTCTACTATAATGCCACGTGAGTTAATCTCATCTGCGTCACTAACTTTTCATTGATCACCTTTTTGTTTCTATGGCTATGTGCGGCTTATGATCTTTTATAAAACTTCTTAAAAAGTTCTCCATTTAGAAAATAGTATGTACTAGGGGTGGGCGTTCGGGTACCCATTCGGGTTCGGTTCGGATCTATTCAGATTTCGGGTTTTCGGGTTCACAAATTTTAGCCCCATTCCGATATTTCTAAATTTCGGTTCGGGTTCGGTTCGGATCTTTGCGGGTTCGGTTCGGGTTCAGATAACCCATTTAAATTATTTTTAAAATTTTAAAATTGATTATATACTTTACATTTCTAAAAATCTATAAAAAAATAACATATTACAAATAATTAAATAACATAAGTCAAAATGCCTAAAATTAACATATAAATTGGTTTGATTTGAATATTTAGATTGGGAATCAAAACTTTTTAAAAGTATTTTTGATGTTTTAAGTATACTTTAGTAATTTTAGACATGTATGTTTGACTATTTACATATATATACACAAGTATTTTGAATAACTTCAAAGTATTTTATATATATTGAATGTTTTTTATATATACATTAAATCTAAAAATAACTAATATATATAGGTATATAAATCTCTTTCGGATATATTTGGGTACTCGAAATATTTCGGTTCGGGTTCGATTTCGGATCTTTAAATACCAAAATTTTGAACCCATTCGGATATTGAATCAATTTCGGTTCGGATTCGATACTACTTTTTCGGATCGCGTTCGGTTCGATTCTTCGGATCCGGGTTTTTTTCCCAGCCCTAGTATGTACCACATGTAATGAGAATAAGAAATATACTGATAACTATATATTTTTATTTGGAAGCTTTAATTTTAATTTTCCAATGAAAACATTTTGTATAATCAAGTATTTAACTTTCCGATCATGGTATAATCACGAAGAGTAATTAATATTAAGCGTGTAAACTATTGTTAACCTACAGTAAAACCTCTATAAATTAATAATGTTGGGACTTTGAAATTTTATTAATTTATAGAGATATTAATTTACGAAATTTTCCTTATTTAGATTAGGCCTGGGCATCCGGGTCCTCGGGTCGGGTTCGGGCCGGGTTCTGTCGGGTCCGGGTCTTTCGGGTCTTGGAAATTTAGACCCATATAGGTACCTATGATTTTTCGGGTCGGTTCCGGGTCGGGTCTTGCCGGGTCCGGGTCGGTTCGGGTCTTTAATTCCAATACCTATAAAATACCTGTAATTTTCGGATCCATATCGGGTCCGGGTCGGATCCGGGTCGGGTCCGGGTATTTAGAATCTAAAAAATACATAATATGCTTAAACTCACTCAAATTCAATCAATATTTTTCATATATATCTAAAATTTTATAAAATAACTTAATTTAAACTATTAATAATTAAAGAAAACATTTTTAAACTCTAAATTTTACATTTTAAAACTTTATATTACTTAAAAATGTTACAAATAATAATAAATATTGTTAACAAAATATATTTCAACTAAATTATAAAATAATATAGATATATAAAACATAATACAAAAATAATAGTTTTAGAAATACATGTTTATAAGTCGGGTACAAATCGGTTCTTATCGGGTCGGGTCTATTCGGGTCGGTTCTTTTCGGGTCCGGGTCTATTCGGGTCGGTTCTTTTCGGGTCCGGGTCTATTCGGGTAAAAGAAATTTAGACCCAATAGGTACTTATAAATTTTCGGGTCGGGTTCGGGTCGGGTATTTTCGGGTCGGTTCCGGTTCGGGTCTTCGGGTCCGGGTAAATTTCCATTTTTTATTTATAAAATAAAAAAATATTTGTTTTAGCATATGTACATTATGTAAATTTTAGAAATTTGCCTTTTATATTATTGTATTATCTTGTTTGGTGTATATTTTTATGTTTCATAGAATTGTTACATGGTTTTTGATATAATTTAACTAAATATTATCAAAATATATTGAAATGTTAAAAAATAGAAGTATTTTAATAGTAAATATAAAACTCCTAAGTCCTAACTAAATATTATCAAAATATATTGAAATATTAAAAAAAAAAATTATTTTTATAGTAAATATAAAACCAACAATATAATGTTAGATTGTACTTATATAAAATTATATATAACTAGATTATTAATTTATGATTTTAGTGGGACCATATATTTACATGGTAGTTTTAAAAATATTATTATCTTATTATTTTATCGATTTGTGTTATATTTTACACCGACCCAAGTTGGGACCAGTGAAATTTATTAATTTATAGAGATTATTAAGTTATCGAATATTAATTTATAGATGTTTTACTGTATAAGAAAGAGTAGAGATAAATTTAAACACACTGACATACGCCAAGTAGGTGTCAAAATTATCTTCAATAGGACTAATGGTCTTTTTTTTTTGGTGAGATTTCGACACATTAACGTATGAAACTTTGTATCATCCCTAACCATTCTTGACAGATAAAACGAATAAGAAGACTCCTTGACACATTCTGAATCCAAAACAACAGATGAAAATCAACACTTGGGAAAGAGACCCGACTTGTCACTTTCACTTTCGAGAGAGAGACAACACACAACAGTGAACAGCCAGCTGCCTTTATCCCAAGAGACGAGTATAAATCACATCTGGTCAGTGTGATTTAGCTGGTGGCGGGTATTGCCACGGGCTTTGAGTCCTCTGCTTTTTCATGTTCCTTGTTCAGCAACTGAAACATTAAACATATCAACGATTACATTCTCACAAACAGAAATGCAAAGACCACTACACATTATTATGTGCTATGCTAAAAAACATAAGAGAGTGAACGAGTTATGGTCTAACCTTGTTGTTAATCAAGTTGTGGAGCGCAATTACACTCCTGATGAGGGATGATAGATAGATAACCAGCATCATGTCATTTGTTTTCACTGCAACATAATAAATCGCAGTAAGACTAATGCATCCAATGCTTTAAGAAAGCAGCACAAAAGTCACAAAACTGACTAGTGAAACTCACCTGAGAAGGCCTTTACCAACTCGTTCACATTAAGATTTGGTAGCAAGTTGAAAACGTCCTGCAGATGTCAAAAGGAATATTTTCATTAGAAAAAGAATCCACAAAGTAACTATAAAATACAGTGAACAAAGATCACATATATTTGGAAAATGTCAATTAGAACACTAAAATAAACACATCTAACCTGCAGATGATATAGAATCTCATGATTAAGAGGGAGCTTTCCTTCAATCACAAGGTCAAGGTAACTACGGATCTCCCGAAGACGTGCATCTAACCCCTTCAAAGCAGTAAGCTTGGCAGTGACCTGGAGCAAAATACATTATTTCAGTCCTCAAGTGATAACTATTATTTTCATATAGTAATAATAACTTTGCAGGAACAGCAAAAGTAAACCCAAAAAGGCACCATCATGATTTCAGCAGACATTTAAAGGGGTGATAATGAAACGTTTAAGTTTTGTAAAGACAAAAACCTCAGTGGCCAGGGTACTGATAGTTGTGTCTTTCACATCCCTGAGCAAATGTTCCACACCTATTAGAAAACGAAAATACACCACGAACGTTTTAGAAGACCTTGCTAAAATACAATCACAAAAGACTGGCTTTAATCCTTTTGTACATACCAATCTCCTCCACCTCATGAGCAGCTATTTCAGTAGACACATGAACAAAGACTTTCTGACTTTTCTGAGTAGCGTTCTGAAGAGACAATGAAGTATGTAATCAAACTGATTAGATATAAGGTCACAAAAAAAAATGTAAGAGATTAGAAATGTATGTATATTACCTCCTTGACCTCCTCTACAGCATAGTAAGCCTTAGTGGGGATTCCAAGTTCTTTAGGCTGGACATCAATAATGACCAACACAGGATTTGGAACATAGCTGCAGCAGCAAAAAGTAAAACGAAGCTTCTTAATATCAAACAGAACAAAAGCTATCACAAAGATTGTAAGAAGAGGAAGGAAAACATCTTTCTGCTTAAAACATGCTCTGCCATAACTCAAAACAGACGAGTCTGTCCTCGATCCATCTCCCATGTCGACACAACATGAAGACAGCTAATAATTCTGAATAAGTGGGAAGGAAACTAACCCACTGAACAACGCATGGACATCCAAATCATTCTCTCTAAGTTTAGGTCCCGTGCTGTACCAACCTACAACATGCTCCTTGGCTGAAAAGCAAAGAGTCCAAAAAACATGGTTACCACCACATCGTCATAAATAGTCTAAGCTTTAGCTTTCTGAGTAAGTACCGTTAATTCTCTTGAACATGTGGAACATTGACTCATGGTAGTTGTGATCAAGAAACCAGATACTCGGGTCTTTGTCATCCTCCTCAAAGGGCACTACAAATCAAACGTCAAACAATTCATATACAAGCCAACAGCCTAGTGACAGTGTAAGCTCAATTACAACTAAACCTCCAATAAATCAACCTAAAGTTTTCTCTTTTCCTTTAACCCTAAACTGATTCCATACAACTAAACCCTAAATTGATTCCATACAAACTAAACCCTAAATTGATTCCATACAAACTCAATTACAACTAAACCTCCAATGAATCAACCTAAAGCTTTCTCTTTTCCTTTAACCCTAAATTGACTCCACACTATAATTCAAATAGTAATGAAACAGTTCAAAAGAAACTGAGATCTGAGAATATTAGACAGTGGGATCGAAGAAGGCGAACCTGCGTAGCTGTTGGTGACGTCAACGATGCCACGTGAGCTGCTTCCGAGAAGAACACCGACAACGCGCTTGCGCGAGTCTTTAGCGACGCGGTTGTAATGGTCGACGATGCTAAGCAAGACGAGTGGATGAACGACCACTTTCTCGATCGTCCTTGCTGATATCTGCTGCGTCTTTATCACATCCATGTTCGGAGAATCAAGCCTCTCTACTAGTACTTTGATTTCTCCGGTGAACTTCCGATCTGTGAGTTTTTTTATCAACACGGAGAGCTTCAAGTTAGCTTCTTCTCCAGGAAAACCCCTTCGAACTACTACTACTTAGCTTCTTTATTTTTCTTTTATGGGCCGGACTTGTAATAAAAATGGGCTTTTATAACACTAATGGGCTTATTATATTTAAAAACGCGACACGGTTTAACAGCAAGTTGTTTCATTTTAGAACATAATAACGACACGCAGTTTTCTCTAGTTAGTGTGTCTCTTTCTCGTGGAAATGGAGCTTACCATATGAGGAAACTCATCAAAGTTTTGCGCTGGTGAATCCTCCTGATCCAGTTACGATGGGATCAACGTTCAGAGATCGTACGTCGGAGTTTCATTCACTCTCACAAACGTTGAATAAGATCGGAGCGATCCCGTCCGTCCATCAAGCTCCTGAAAGTGATCCGACGTCCACAAAACGGTCGCCGCCGGGATCTTCGAGATCCGAGTTCAACAAGAAGGCTTCCCAGATCGGTCTACGTATCCACGAGACGTCTCAGAAGACCGCAAGGCTCGCTAAATGTACGGTTCAGTATCAGATTCATTCTCGCATTGTTACGTATAGTGGAATTAGTCTTTAGGATGTTTGGATTTTAACGAGATTCAGACATAGTTTCCGACAGCTGTCTTGTAATGAATGAAACTTGCAATGACTCCAGAGACATTGTAGTGATTTCTGTTGAAATTTTTGATAAATAGCAGTGGAATTAGGATTTAGGATGTTTGGATTCTAACGAGATTCAGACATAGTTTCCGACAGCTGTCTTGTAATGAGTAGAACTTGAAATGATTCTAGAGACATTGTAGTGGTTGCAAATGAAACTGTTGATGAATCGCAGTGGAATTAGGATGTTTGGAATGCAACGAGATTTAGACATAGTTTCCAACAGCTGTCTTGTAATGAATGGAACTTGCAATGACTCCAGAGACATTTTTAGTGATTTCTGTTGAAACTGTTGATGAATAGCAGTGGAATTAGGCGTTAGGATGTTCGGATTTTAACGAAATTCAGACATAGTTTCCGACAGCTGTTTTGTAATGAATGAAACTTTGTAATGATATGGCATTTGAAGTTAGCTTTACTTTCTTCTGACATTGTCTGATTGGTTATTTTCAGTGGCAAAAGAATCGTCGATTTTCAATGACCGGACTTTGGAGATACAGGAGCTAACTGTGTTGATCAGGAACGATATCACGGGGCTGAACATGGCTCTCTCTGATCTGCAGACTCTTCAGAACATGGAGATCGCTGATGGGAGCTATTCACATGACAAAGTTAGTCACTACACAGCTGTTTGTGATGACTTGAAAACCAGACTCATGGGAGCTACAAAGCAGTTTCAAGATGTTCTAACTGCGAGATCAGAGGTTGGATTTGTAGACTTCCTATTTATTTGTATCTGCATAGTATTTCTAACTGAGACATGTTTTGTCTTCCTGCAGAACATGAAGGCTCATGAAAACCGGAAACAACTCTTCTCCGCAAAAAATGCAGCAGTAGATAATCAGAATAATGCAAAAGCTGTACCTGAGCCTCCTCCTTGGTCAAATTCATCACTTCATTCCGGGAATTTACAACAACAGCCACTGTGAGTTTTGTTCTAAAACTATCTTATACGTAACAGTTGCTCTCAGCTAATTAGGTTTTGTCTTCTGCAACCGACCAGGTTACCGCCAGTAAATAGTGGAGCTCCTCCTGGTAGCCAGCTTAGGTATGTCCTAATTTCCATTTACTAAACAACTCTTGATAGTTCTTCGTTATACTTTAAGGTCAAACAATGTATAAATATATGAGTTTTGGTTCATGACATGCCAAAACAGACGCAGATCCGCTATCGAGAATGCACCATCGCAGCAAATGGAGATGTCTATGTTACAGCAAACAGTCCCAAGGCAAGAGAATTATAGCCAAAACCGAGCTGTTGCGCTTCACAGTGTGGAATCAACGATAACAGAGCTAAGTGGAATATTCACACATCTAGCTACAATGGTCACTCAACAGGGAGAGCTAGCTATCAGGTTCTTTAACGTTCTTTACCCAAAACCTCACCATATACAGAGTTTCAGGGAGCACTTAGTTTAACATATGTTGTGTTTTGTGTGAACAGAATCGATGACAATATGGATGAATCGTTAGTTAACGTAGAGGGAGCTCGCAGCGCTCTTCTGCAACATCTCACTCGAATATCATCAAATAGATGGCTCATGATCAAGATCTTTGCCGTTATCATATTGTTCCTCATTGTTTTCCTCTTCTTTGTGGCTTGAAACAATTCTTTTATATCTTTTGATCTTGTTGCATGTCATATCCAGAGCTAAAACTTCCGTCTATACACATGTTACAAGCTTCCAAAAAAAATGTTTCAATTTTTCATTTTGATTCTACAAGGAAACGTCTGATGTAAAAAATAAACATATGATTCAGAAGGTTTGCGTGATAACATGCGTGCCGTTTTTCATACCAACATGAGAACATCCTGTCGGTTAAATTACTAAAACACACTGCCGTTTATAATATTAAGAAAGGGAATTTATGTCGGTCAAAGTTAAGAAAAACGACATAACGCTCCTCTGTTTGGCAAAAAGCACGCTTGTCGTTTCAAATATTAAGAAGGGGACTACATGTTGTTCTTATCAGTTGGAAAAACTACAAAGCGTTGTTTCTTGGAAAGAGCTCCTCCAGTAGATAAATGAAAGATCCTCTGTTCTCCAGCGATAAGAGGAAGACAGAAAAAAAAAACAAATCTTTACGTCCTAAGATATTTAATGACACCAGGGTTTTGATCGGAGAACCATAAAGGTCTATACTTTTCCGTAGGATATGAATCTCGCGGCTAGTTTTCGCGGCAATCTCGGAGTCTTGTCGCAATGCAGCAGCTCACGTTGCAGTCTTCAGTTTCAGCCATTGGTAGCTACTTCGAGTTTGGGTTTTGGACAGAGAGATAGTTATCGAAGGAACAAGGAGCTGAAGCTGTTCCGAGTTCAAAGGTTTCATTTTTAGATTTTTTTTTTTTTTTTTACAATTTGTTTCTGTTACTTCTCTGTTTATTTATCTGGTGGCTTTGTACTTGCAGAAAGAGAGAGACTTTTTGTAGAGTGACGGATACACAAACGGAACCAGACGGCAATAACGATGAGGTGTTAGTTTTAGCATCTATGCGGCTTATTCTAGAGTTTGTTGATTTTTGTTTATGATTTTTCCATGTTGTGGTGATTATGTTTTTTTTCTTTGCAGGAAAGTGGTGAAGAAGACAAGGCTTTAGCAGATGAACCTCCTCCACAAGTTCCTACTGAGTTGGTTTCAGAGACAACTGTTGTGGGCAATGAAGAGGAAAACAAAGCTCAATTCAGCTCCCAGGTATCGTTTTTATCCATCAAATAGCATAACTGAAGCCTCAGTTGTATAAGTTTTGATTTTCGTTTAAGGAGTGTTGTTTACTGACTAGTAGTTTCAGAGAAATTGAATCTAAATTGCTTATTAACCTTTTGTATTCCACTTCTCTTTGTACGAGATCTTATGTAACTTAAATACCTTAATTCATGTAATATTTGATATAACTAGATACGGTCGTCCATATAGTTTTTTGGTATTGTTTCTGAATGTATTTGTTATCTACTGCATTTTGGAAATAGGACGGTGATAAGTTAGAAGTTAGCACTGGTTCTCCTCTTCCTGGTGTGAATGTAAGTATTATCAACAATGTTGTTTACAAAAGCAACAGCTTAATGCTTTCTGCTATTTATCTCTCATAAAAAGGTGTTGTGAACAGCCGTTACAGTTGGATGAATCCATGAGACTTCCCAAAGAAACGATTGATATCCTCAAGGATCAAGTTTTTGGGTTTGACACCTTCTTTGTTACTAGCCAAGAACCATATGAGGTAAGCCACTGAGAAACTCATCAGTATCATACAGGAGAGGTTGTGAAAATTCTCTCCATTTGTTGGTAGGGTGGGGTGTTGTTCAAAGGAAATCTAAGAGGCCAGCCTGCTAAAAGCTATGAGAAGATAAAGACAAGATTGGAGGTAGCAACTCTACTTCTTTTGTTTCCCTACTTAACTATGATATATGATAAGCACATGTTGTTGCAAAGATTAATAGTAAATATTTTTCATCAATCTGCAGAATAAATTTGGTGACCAGTACAAGCTTTTCCTTCTCTCCAATCCAGAGGATGATAAACCTGTGGCTGTTGTCGTTCCTCGAAGGTCCTTGGAACCCGAGACAACAGGTTATCTAACTTTACGGTTCCATTTTTTTGTAAGGTTCTCTCTTAATGATTAAACTCTTAGCTGGGTTCTACATACAATTACAAATGCAGCTGTTCCTGAATGGTTTGCTGCTGGTTCTTTCGGATTGGTGGCATTGTTTACATTGTTTCTCCGTAATGTACCCGCCTTGCAATCCGACTTACTGTAAGAACTTCTTAAAACCATGTATTCTCCAAAACATGTTATGCTTCAAAAAATCAAAATGTATAAACCTTTCCCTCCCATCCATGAATTTGATTGCAGGTCAGCATTTGACAACCTTGAGCTGTTGAAAGATGGCTTACCAGGAGCTCTCGTCACCGCTCTTATCCTTGGAGTACATGAACTGGGACACAATCTAGTTGCAAACAACCTAGGGATAAAGCTTGGTGTTCCATTCTTTGTTCCAAGTTGGCAGGTGAAGATGCAATGTTTCTCTTTAAAAGTTAAAAGGGAAACTTCCTTTTCATCTATTTGGTTTTGTAGACATTTGATGAACATGTTTTAGATTGGCAGATAGGTTCTTTCGGTGCTATAACAAGAATCAAAAACATCGTACCCAAACGAGAAGATCTTTTGAAGGTTGCAGCTGCAGGACCCTTGGCAGGCTTTTCTCTGGGCTTTGTTCTGTTTCTTGTAGGGTTAGTCGTGCCTCCAAGTGATGGTATTGGCGTTGTAGTTGACTCTTCAGTGTTTCACGAATCCTTCCTCGTTGGTGGTATTGGTAAGTAGTAGCTTTTAAACTATTATGATGAATGTTGAAGATAATATGTTAAAAGT